TATATATATATATATATATATATATGTATATATATATATATGCATATATATATATATATATATGAAAAAAAAAGTAAACAAATTGACCTTTTGCTCGCCATTTTGCAAAATGTGAAGTTCTAACGATGAGGTTAAATGTAAACTTTCACTAATCATCCGCAGACCATGCGATGAAGAGTACGACATCCAATAAGTGATCAGAAAACGTGGAAGTGTAACATTTAGTTGAATGTGCCTAAAATATTAAGGTGAGTTTCAAAGCAAAAGTTTTCATCATCTTAACAACTTTAAATTCCTGATTAGCAAACAAAAAAAAAAAAAAATCGCGGAATCCGATCAGCTTAGATTACGAAACAATTACTTTAAATGTCGACTGAGTTGACTTTTTTTAGTTTTGTCTCCACCGAATAGTCGACCACGCTTTACTGGTCTATTAACTGTTGTCATCGTATTCTAAATTGTAAACTAAAACTTCATCACAAATTGTACAAAGAAAAATATTTGAAGATGATACCTTTTAAGGTGCTTAAATGTTGTTTCATATTTCACTGGACTTCCATGAACAAATAAACTTATCAGTAATGACGGAGTAATCACAAGAACCACCCAAAAAAGAAACCTGCATAAATCAATTGGTTCGCAACTAACAGATTATAATCTTATCTATTTCGGTAGGCATACATAATGAAAATGCAAAACTACTTTGAGGAACTCCAGCCATCGAAAAATATTGGCATAAAGCAAAATCTGCGGACAATGGCTATTGGTAACTGTATTGTCCGGTTGTTTCACTTCTAAAGTGAAGACTAAATCGAGGTGTGTTGAACGAAATGCGCGATAAGAATCATGTTCCTGCAATAGGTCTGTTCTAAAATGAAATCGTCATGACATGAAATGTACTAAAACTACAACTTATTGAATTATGTCTTTTTAACAATGTAACCAGCGGTTAAAACTTTATCATGAAATAAATACACAAGCACGCGAAAGTGTAACTACGCAAAAAAAAATTACAAATATTTCTCTTGAACCAAAATTCTGAATGCCCTAAACTGAAAAAAGAAAAAGAACTGGAACGTTACTAAATTCGTAGACGAGTATTCAGGAAGCTTATCGGGAGCGCATGGCTGAGCACTGTGATGATCGTGTGAGTCCCCAATACATGCCCAGTCCATCTTCACGCTGAATTTAAATCCTGGTAAATGCAAAACACGACTTTCATCATATTTCGATGCCGTACGTACGAACGCATCCATATCCGTTTGTACACAAAACTGATCTGAAATACATAATATAGGTGCCAAGTAATCGTAAGTTAAATTACATGACTAAAGTGGCAATTGCTGGTTTTCATCGAATGGAACAAAATCATTTTACAGTTACCACTGCTTAGACTGTGAAGCACTTACACGATTTATGAAGTTCAAGATCAATCTGCGTGCACGTGTCTATGATAAATTTAAGTTCCTTTCAGAAAGCAACTTAACACAATAAAAAACTGTGTTTAGGAATTGTTGTTTACCTGTAATCCAGTCAAATCCAAATTCTCTCCAGCATATCTCAACCAGTTCAGTAGAATTGTATGGATCCGTGGATGCGAGTATTGATGTGACCAAATTTTGACAAAGCATAGAAAAACGGCCGTGTAAAAGCAGCCGGATTTTGTCCCAAAAAGGCAATGGTGGGCTTGGATCCCTAGAATAAGAGACAGTGACAAATATGATTTCATCATTTCATGATGATGTGATTGGATAAATCGTGATAAAAGCGCATCATGCGACTTTGTGACAGTATGATCTGTATAACGCATCCTTCCAAATTTGTGACACTACTGTTATATCTCTTAAGCTACGTCAACCTAATCTTTCTATGAAAATTCCAAAGTGTCCAGAAAAATTCTATGACACAGTGGATTTTTGCTTTACGACAGCGAATAAAAAAAGAGAAATCAAGATACCTTGACGGCGAACTGACATTATTCCAACAAAGACTAATCATTGATAAGCACGGTTCCCAGCAAGGTCCATAAGTGCAATTAAGTTCTTTGATCTCTACAAGTAACTAATTTCAAATATTTCTAATCAACTGATTAAGATTTTTTAATCAGTCTATAGGCCTATATCTCATTTTTTAATCAGCCTATATCTCCTTGTCGGTTAAAAAATGATTCGTCAACTTATTTTATGATTTTTGACCACAGCAACGGTCAGATAATGTGAAGCGTGCACAGAAACCATCCCTAGCATCAACTAAGGGGAAAATGTTGGAATAGTAACAATATTAATTTATATTCATATGAATTTAAGGTCGGTATATTCAACTATTTGATCAATTATTGGCAACTGTCATACTTCTATTTACTGTTATCAAAAAGAGGGACAAACCGCATGAGAGATCATAATAATATTTCAAAGGGCACATGTTTCGCTCAATGGTATATTGCCCCCAAGGTTGTGGCAATGTTACTGTATTTGTCCGTATTGAACGTGGCCCTGAAGGATGACGATAAATTACTACTGTTTGTAAGAAAATAAAGAAAAAGAAAAGTACTTGCGCTAGTTGCCAAACCATCATACTTCGCAGTGATATTCGACAGGTTGAAAGTATTATTTTCGTAACATAATAATCACATAAAGCTTTGTGAAAAAAAGTACGGTTAGCAGCTTAACATGTTAATTTGCGTTATTAATCATTAATAACCTCTCTATTCTCTCCGCTTTCCGAACCAATACAAACTCCTACTTCCCGCAAAACTTGCCTGTGAGTTGTTCACTTCCTATTAGATGCCCCCAAAAATGTGCATCTTTCATCAAGACATATGGCAACGGATAATCCCGGAATTGCATTATCCAATCGTCACAATCCATTTCAACAGCACGTGCCCATAGTGTATTGAATTCCATCCCTTCAGCTGGGAATGGCCTAAAAATTTCCAAAACTAAGGGACATTATTTTAAAAAATGTCAAAGAAGACAACTAACCGATATCCATTATAAATTTGTTCAAGGTAAGCGAAAAAAAAGTGAATTTTTTAAGTGTATTATAAGGCGGAATTTATTATAGCTATAATAAACGAGTCTACTAGTACCTCAAGCTCCATCCTACCAAGTTAAATTGAGACAGCAATCACCTCGTTACTATGCTTGTTTTACATACAGAGGACAAAACTCACGATTCAGCATTGAAAGTTTTCAGATGGTTAACCACATTTTCTTTCCCGTGTAAAGTCATATCAGCATATGCACGAATCTAAATGATTTTAAGATGTGTTAGAAAGCTACTGCCTAAAGTAAAATTTTTTCCTTCTAAAATACATAACTGAACTGAGAATTTAAATTTTTAGTTTTTTTTTTAGTTTACTAATTCATAACTCAGGCAGAATTTCAAGTCTGCACTATTCTTGGTACTAAATTTAAAGGAAGATACTTAAAAAAATTATTTCAAAGAAGCAGAAAATTGTTTCAGATAAAATCACCTCAAGATTTGTAATTGACCATAAATAAAGATGCTTTCTGGAACTCGGCAACTTTTTGGACCTTTCAATATAAATTTCCGCATTTTTCTTAATTAATGATCGATGCAATTCATCTGCCTTTGATTCTGCAACAATAGGATAAAAGTATAGCTTTTGAGCGACGACTCATCGACATTAAATTCTAATTTAACAGCAATTAATGCTGCTGAAGGAAAAATTTACTAACGAGATAGAAAAGGACGCGTTTTCTGGAGCTGCTCCAATTTCTGGTTCAGCATTTGACGTCGACGTTCGCATTCATATACTTCATCAACCATCAGCTCGTAATTATTTTGAAGTTGTACTTCAAATGGGTCATCATTAATTTGTAATGAAGCACTCTGCAAACTGCGCAGAACAATGCATGCTTATCAGGCAAGACAAGCAAGATTAATGAGACAAAAAGCCATGAAAAAGCATCCATCGATTTTATGTTATATGCCAGTTCCGCCATCTTTTTTCTTTGCGTTTTCTAGTGCATCTAATAAGCTCAAACAGATTGTTATAACGATTTACGCATAATTCCATCTAAGCATTTTCGAGCTCTAATCTAAACCATACTAATCTCCCAAATTGCTTCACAGTATTAGCTTACTTTAACTGAGAATCGTAAATCAGATGGAAGTGGAGATTCAGCAGTAAACGGTTTTCTCTTCCATTCATGCACTAATTTTATCCATTTCCACGCGTTAATTATCTGAAAACCGTTTATAATTTGAATATTTTCACAAATATAAAAAATAAGAAATAAATAGCAGCTACAATTTGTTTGATAGCATATAAATCATCATGTCTACTCGGTAAAATTTTATGCAACATGTTTCTAATGATGAACTAGTTGTATTATGATATGGCCTTCATGAACAACTTGTGGGAAGATTTTCGATAAGCGGATATCGCAGATCAATGAAAAAATTTACTAAACAGACCTCATCATAACCTGCTGCGAAATTATAATCATATGGAAAGACGAATGCCACCGCATCGGCAGACCATATCCAAAGTTTATTGGTTCGGTTTTTCAGATTCTTAAATTCATTTCTGCCTAAATCCATTCCTGCATCGAATGCTTGTTTCTCGACACAAAACTTCTGTAACAATATTATCACTATCTGCTGAAGTTAAAAACAATTAATTTCAACAGTCTTTTAAAGATTGTTACCTCAATCGTAAGGATAGGATGACAATCTAAGGAAGCAGTGAAGTGTGATATTTCGATTATTTTGTGATCCATGCATCGTATGTGTAGCGATGGCACTTCCCAACACATCCTTTATAAATAAAAATTTTCATAATACTGAAGAAACTAATTCCGTGCTGTGGGAGATTAGAAAATGATGGAATCCTAGAATATTACTTACACATGAGATCGCGGTAAATGAAATTCGATTATTATAGGACTGGATGTTTCGATACTGAAATGAAATAGCTGAGATGCTTCAGAAGATGTTTTCTGTCCAAAAAGACTCGAAATCTGCTTCAAGCTTCTGGAAAAAAAAGGTAGAAAAAAGTAATGTTCAGGGAAGAGTTAACTTATGATTAAACCTGCAAAACAAAGTCCTACATAGCGACCGATTTCGTTTGTTTTTTAATACATTAACTCAAAAGCACACAATTTCTTTAGTTTATATCAAATTAATACAAGAATGAGATCAATACCGCTGTTTTGTAAAAGTACTGAAATCTTACAATACCACGGAACAGGCCGAAGTTGAAAACGAAAACCTACCGGAAAGCTTCCAGAAAAATGATGTGCACAGTAGTGCTCCAAACCAAATTCACAGGTGATTCAGCTAGCAGAACCCATTCCCAAGATGACGGTAACCGAGAAAGTCGCATCATCAAGCGATCACTGCTTCCACACTTGACATTGTAGAAATTGGAATGATGAAATAATAATGACAACCGAGATAAGAGTCAAATTGTGATTTCAGAATCTCCAAATTATCGAATCTTTAAATCATCGAAACTGAAGAAAACAAACGAACTAAATTGAAGAAGAAGAAATACCACAATATGTTTCGATTTTATTTGTGCTGAGTCATCCCAAGAAATGAATTTCTCATTTGTCACGATGCCCTGAAGTATCTTGGAATTCAGTGCAAGCATTGAAAATGTCGTTGAGGTAGGCAAGGCATCCAGACGCAGCTGTTCAATAGATAGAATCAGATATAATGAATGCCGAGCCAGAATGAAAAAGACGATACTGAAAATATGAAAAGATTTCTGCGAAGTAAAAGAAAAAGTTAATTATAATATCAGAAAAAAACTATACAAGACTGTTTCCATATAATTCTAATGGTTTTATAGAAAAACAAGGGGATGATACATTTAAAAAAAAGCATACTTCTCTACAGATATTTGTACTGTAGAAACAACTTGAGGAGGTGGATAGGGTTGAAATGCATATGATGTGCTGCATGTTGGTGATGACGTGCCGCTACACAGAAGAGATGATAAGAATGAAGCCATCTGTCATATTTAATCACATAAATGATAGAATCAGTTACTTGAAATGACTATTAAATGTACGAGCACTAGAAAGTAGTTTCTCATAATCGATCAAAACTTCTAATGGTAAATCCGTAACATAAGAAAATCCTAATGTTTTCAATTCCAATAACGCTGGAACGTTACACACACTAAATTCCATTCCTACAACAACTAACTTCTTTTATCGTCGTAATAGGGTGCAAAAGTGTTTCTATATTACATTATTTCATACAGTTGCAGCAATTCTTAAAAATACCTGCCGGGTGAGTTCTTCCTCATATTCTATTTGACATTCAACCAACTTGACCAGCAATCTTCTTGTTTCATTACTTCGGAAGTACTACAATAGAATACGACAGAACATACAGCTCCAAAAAGCCCACAATCCAAAATTTATATTTTGGTTCATAAGAACCAATGGATGTGAACTTAATAACCCATCATTCCTTAGATTTTGGCACCACAAAATTTCTACTCTTTTTGCCAGCTAATTACTATTTTGTTCAACTGAATTTTTCATGCAGAACAATGTTTTCATGCAATCATTCATTTGGAACTTTAGCAGCATTTGTCCATTAATATGTAGAAGCCGTTCAACATGTTGATGTTAAAAACTAATGTATTTGAAAAATATTCCAACAAAATAAAAATAATACCTGAGTTAATAAAGCTCCGATAATTAACGTGGTACCCCAAAGATGGCAAAAACGAGAACCGAAATGGTTAGCGAAAAAATTTCCTTGTCGAATCCAAACTGATTCTAAACCAATTTCAGCAGATGCAAAATTCTGGAAGTGAGATATCTAAATACGAAAAAATGGCAGTTCTATAAAAATTTCATAGAAAGCCCACTTATCTGACAATAATTCCAAATTCAGAACCTCAATTCTATCACAAATGTATTGAATTCTGACACCATCTTTTTAGTTGCCAGAAAATATTTTTGTAAAAGTCTGTTGTCAAAATTCCATTATTTTCTTGCACCTAAGGTTGTCTTATTCCTATCTTTAATGTTTAAAACTATCTTATTTTAAATTACATGATGCTAAAAAGCTTAGGATATTTCTCTTAATCCTTTCTAAAAGACAGCAGAGGGGGGGGGGGGTTAGATCCCGAGCAGTGTAGATATGGAAAAGCACTTCGGTAATGTTTTTAGATGTATTTGGCGATCAAATTAAGCAAATAACAGGTTATGAATGGCATTCAGACTTACATCGCTAACGCAAAATGTCCCTAGTTCCAAGCCGGCGTCGATTTCTTGTCCATTGGAGAGCATTAAACGGCAGTGAAATGAACTTACTTCTACTGATAAGGATTCCCAACAGAACCGTTTTATTTCCGTCGGTACTGCGTATAAATCTAAAAGGTTTGGAATACTAATTTAGGTACAAGTCACTGAAGACTTTAAAAAATTCTTCTACCATCGATTGAGTATTGATGCTTGAGGTTTTGAACTAGTCTTATCACCACGATTAAACACTTGAGTATTTGAATTTGTTCCTGGAAAAAAAGGAAACCTCTTACGATACATTAAGCTTACCTATAGATGCAGTTGAAAAATCATCATCGAAATGACCTTCAGCAGAGGTCGAAATTCGCTGCCCAATATTATGATAATACTCGGTCCAATCAACAATAGCCTTCTGATTCGTGATAAAATAGGGATTGAATATTTTCATATCAGCAAACAGACTTCCTGGACTATCCAGTGCCCGCTGTAGTGAAAAATGAAATTCGAATCAAACCTAACGTTTAAAAAAAATTATGGTCCCTTGTGGAAAATTTATATGGAACGTAAAATGCTACGGCTGCAAAAGCTACATGATATCGGCATCAATATATTATGAACCAGGTAGTCTTGGTACCACTTAACTCATAATATTCAAGGTATCAAAACAAGAAACGAACAAACATTCAGTTTAGCATTGAATTCATTGCAACTAAATAACGTCTCGCGCGTGTGATCATCTACATTGATCCCAGTTAAAGCAATAGCAAATCGTTGGTTATCTTCTGTCGATACTGATACTACATTTAACCTTGCAGCAACGGTACGCCTGAATCATCACACTGTTAATGCTTTTATTATAAAAGTGATTGCATTTACACCAAACCTTTTGCTCCAGAGTCTTATGTTACCTTCAGTAAATAAACAAACTACTACTAACTTGAGCAATTAATACTCATTCCATTATTCAGTAGATATTAGGGAAACATGTGACAATTCATTCTATAATTCCTCCTGGAAAAATAATAATAGAAACCAATTTGCATGTTGAGAACTTCTAAAGTTACGTTAAAATAGTCAAAAGATGACTAACGATACTAATGAATTAGTATGAAACAATATACATTTCTGAATAATCCATTTTGGCCGTGTATCTCAACACTAGATTTTCGATATCCAAATTTAAACTTATATTCAGAAGGCTTTCAATGTCAAAGGAAGTAACAAATTGATCTGATGTGCTTTTCGTCTTCTGATGTACTGAATGGTCATGAAAGTATTCCAAAAGGCCTGAAATATTTCACTTATAACATTACTACTCCCAAATTTTCGTCACGGTTTTGCACCTCAATAAAAACAGGCATTCAAAAAAGCAGGATTTCATAATGCACTAAATGCATCTATCATCTCGTATTATTTCCAGTCGCAGGACTGCAAATAATAAGAAAGAGCAAACGCTAATAAAGAAAGTAGAAAAAATGATTTGATGTGATATGGCCTCATTTCACATTTTTGATGCGCTGTTTGTGTGTTTTCTTTTTTTTTTTTTTTTTTGCCACTAAAGGAACGGTGCTCAAACAGGCCAAGTTGATTTAAACGAATGACAACGTCTCACATTTCCTCATGAACATAAATTTCTTCGAAAGTTTCCAGATCACAACATTTTGAAAACTTTGACTAAAACTGAATTTGTGGTCACAGTATAACTAACCATCCGAAAGAATAAGCTGAGGATCAGTAATGCGGGAAACAAGTCGTTTCAATTTCAAAGCACCCAAAGGTACGTTGCAACAAACTGATAACCCTAATGAAAGTACAAGTAAAGGCGCAGTATTCTGAGCTGCTCCACGATTGAACAATTTTGCTTGCAACAGTTTACAAGAAAGTTCAATCTGCATCCTGAAATGCGGAAAAATATTCCTTCGGTGTAAACATTATCTAAATATTCTGCCAATGCATGCAAATTTTCTGAAAATTCACCCTTCACGATCTCGATATCCATCAAATTGTAGTTGCTGAAAGGTCGAATGCAACAAAGATCCGGGAGCCACACCAAGAAATACAACACGCGCAGTACGAATTATTGTACTTGTGTACTAAAAAAGCTTAAGGCGAAAAATAAAGTGAAATCTTTATAAGTTGCTCATAATTCACAGCTTACCAAAAGTAAATATCGTCATATGAAATCGAAGGGCCTAACTGTTAGCAATAATTGCAAACACGCTATAGCGCTGACTTGTGGACAAACAGTAATCTAGTTCTAGAACTGAAATGGCCGCCTAAAAAGCGGAAACGGCAGGACGAATAACAGAAGGAAACGTACTTGTAGCCAATGAAGATATCTTTCGAAATCCTTATGATTGTATCGCTTCTTACAGGTTGGTGACAAGGACAACTGTTCATTACATTCACCTTCAATACGGATATCACTAATCGTGATTATGAACGGCTTCCTAAAATTGTTGACTCAAATAAAAGCTTATCAAAACAAAGTGTGAAAGGCCCTTTTTTAAGATGGTGTCTTGCTTGACTTAAAAGGCTCATTTTTTCCAACATTATTCGGATGGCTCTCTGGTGAGACCATATTTATCGCTGTGGTTATAAAACCTTCTAACACACTGACACATAACGATCGAACTATATATTCTTTCTGCGCACATTAATCAGTCTTATTGATAATGCTTGTAGACTACTTAATTATGATTTAACTGTAATATTGCAAGATTTTTTTATTGGTTGTGCTGAAACTCACGTATAATGTGTATTGAAGAAACTGATTGTTAAACGAAAATCGTCAACTTCAATTACGACACCACCAATTAAGCAAAGTCTAATATGCTCCACATAAAACAAACCGCATCTGCCTAAACGTACCGAACGACAACGGCAAATTTTTGCTACTGCCAACGATAACAACCATCCTCGGTATCTAAATTTTCATAATTCCTGTACAATTTGAACTTTTACCTAATTCGTCCTTAAATGACCTACAAAAGATGGTATGATTTCCTATAAATTAATGTGAAACTGATGTATCATATAAAACGGCGAACCAAAGGCAGCGAATATTTTAATCCCAACTCACTTATTTCATATTACATTCCCTCGAACGAAAAAGTGATCAATATGATGGTTAGATTCGAAAAATAAAATTGTCATTTTCACCAATAAAAATCGTAAACTTCTGAATCTATTTCCTGGTAAGTTAACATAATCCTGCATTATTTTACACTATTTACCTATTCTATACTTACATATCCTACAAGAGTGCAAAACAAACCTCCATATAAGCAGTATGACAAATATCAATAAGCATGAAATGTACGAAAATTCCATATCTGCCTATTGTTAGGTGTACAGTAACATCCGCTGTCGTGTTGATTCTTCATCTAACACTGAAACTGAAATGATGAAATGTCTCAAATGAGAAAAACACTACAAACACTGTTCTATCAAATACTAAAACCAGCAACTGCAGTGGTGTTCAGTTTTTAGGATTTACTCAGCAGTAAGATTTCCGATTGTTAAATTGTTCAGTATCAAAACTCCAAATCCGGACCGAAAGTATGAATGGCACAAATTCTGTGAGTTGTACAATGTTCCCCTTTCCCTCCAACCTTTCCCTTCAAAAATTCATAAACTATTAAACAATCAGTTTTCTATTAATACTTCTGGTTACTTGTCTGAAGCGACATCACTATTCAATAATTCATGTGTATCACAGAGTATGCACGATTCCATCGATGACGAGATAGTTTCGCACCGATTAATCACATTTCCGAAGTTCAGATACCATTCCCGAAAGCTCAGATACCATTCTCGCCTTCACGTCATGTAAATTCTGATTCATAATGTATAAGCTCAGACTTGTTTCCAGTCCCAGTTTTATTTTATATTTAACCTTAATTTACTGCCTACATTGATTATTTCGTCCCCAAAGCGCCAAATCTCCTGCGAAGAAAAAGGTTGAAATTTTGATAATTTGGGTTCTTGAAAAAATAAATTTGAATAAATATTTCAATTTATAGAGAAGAAAATGGAATTACAAAAATTATTTCTTGAAAATCAGTGCAATGATCAGTGGTTGGATGCTTTGTAACGGTAGAGTTAATAAATGGTTTTTTTGGAAAAATTATCTGGATTCCATTTCAATTTCGATTTAGAACAGTATTTCATTCAGTTCTGTTCCTCATATAGTCATGGAGTTTATGCAAATCGATTTTTCAAACATTAGTTGTCACATCTGCAATCAGTCTCACAAAAAAAAATTCAAGTTTGTTCAAATAGCTCACTGTGGACACATTTGATACCATTTAATGACATCAGTATGTTCATCGCATCCCTTTAAAAGAGGTTTGCTTAACGTGGAAGAAAGGTGGCAAAGTAAGGCCGAAGAAAATGGGGGAGGAATTTTCAATTCAACGCATTAGTGTGGGCTCATATTTCCTCATTTGTACCTGCGGAAATAGGGGACGTCATCAATTTAGGAAAGTACCACAGTTAAAATTGGAAAGTACTATATCCGTCATTAGTGCACCAAATGAAAAGTTATATTCGCCATGATGGTTGAGACAGAGGGCAGAAAAACCAACATATCGGCAAAATCGGTGCATGCAGATGAAATACGAGCTTTTTATAAAGAAGACTATCACCAGTGGCACAACCTGGAGGAACTTTCAAATTTTTACATCCTTATATGCCCGAATATACAGAACACTTTGAGTAATACATACCTTGAAATACATAAACCCACAAATACACTTTCGGCTAGCGAGGCCATTTGGATGAAACAACCAGATAAAGTGAAGGGAGACGGAACCGTTTCATAATATTTACTATTATTTCTTATAGCGGCCAATATCTCGGGTCGGCACCGAAGTAGGGTTTCAGTGGGTTTACTGATGGGTGTTGTGCGGGTTTTTCTCCTAGATGGTGTAGATAAATTGACCGTGTCTCTTGGATACCTTCACGTACGTAGAGGTCAGGTGTCAAAGCTTTAGTAAATATATATACTCTTCGACAACATTTTCATGCTGAGTGATCATTTCGTATAATTTTAGCAGTTCGACGTCTCAGAATGTCTGCCATGGAAGTGACGGAGACACCTGCTGCTGAGTCAGAAGAAATGAAAGATCAAGTCGAGGAGATGCAACAGCAGAAACTTGAGGAAACGAAAAAGGTTGTCATTTTAAATTTAGAAATTTAAATTTCAGTGAACTTTCATTGGTTATTTCAGAAAGCAAGTATGATTCGCGCATGGTGTTAAGTAATTGATGTTGCAGTAATTTCTTGGCTCAAACAAATACACGACATATAAACAACGTTGCTCTCAGTGCTCCTGACTATAAGGCATCTCAATAAGATAGCGCAACCTCTCTTTCTTCATACCATACAAAAATCTTCCATTCAGCATTCAAAGCTTTCCACACTGACTCTTCACTTAGTGTTCAGTCAAGTAGTCTTATTTCTTTCCTTATTCGGATAGTTTCACTTGCTAATGCTTGATGACCTGAACGACAGTTTGTAAAATTCCACCAGTTAGTGAGGAAGGTTACAGTTGGTTATCATTATAATTCAAATTGATGACAGGATTTGAATTTGTTCATGTTTTAGGAAGAAACACCTGCTCAGGAGGAAACAACAAAAGCAGTTGATAGTGCCCTATCCCATCCTTCAGCTACTTCCGAAAACACTGAAACAAGTGCAGAATCGGAAAAAAAAGATACACCTCAGGTATATGGATTTGGCTTATTTTTTATTTCATTCTTTTTTTTCAATACGTACAGTTTTTATGCTTTTCCTTCTTGTCACAGGAACTATAACAGTTGGGGATTTATAGTACTTCGTTTTTCGAAATAACAGAAATGTGTCAGCATGCTTTTTGGAAGTAGGCCTCAATTTTTCAAAAAAGTGTAACCAGTCATTCATCTCTTTTTATATGCATTATCTTATTACTGTAATTAGAACTCCTGAAAATTACATGACACGGAGTGTCGACTCTACTGAACCATTGCTACTTCGAGAGTGTGTAGAACAAGTTTTGTCTTCACACTCTTGATTTTTTTTGTATCATTTAGACTGGTGGGGAGAGTGGAAGTGGTGATACTGCGACTACGGCAAGTACCACTATCCCGACGCGCCAGTATCTGGATCAGACTGTTGTGCCAATTCTGTTGCAAGCTTTGGGTGCATTGGCCAAAGAACGTCCACCAAATCCGATCGAATATCTGGCCAACTATTTGCTTAAGGAGAAGGATCGTTTTTCGACATCATTCAGTCAGCAGCAGCAGCAGCAAAATGAATCCAGTCATTAAATCCAAGAAAATATTCGAAGATCTTTTATTAAACACGGCGTTGTTGAGAAAATTGCTTTGTTTGTCATTTCCATCGATGTTTTAAATTTATTTTCTAGTGAACCACCCACGTACTGTGAGGGAAGTTTTATGTAGTGCAAAGAAAAATTATCAAGTAAGAAAAGTTCTATCTAGTTACTGCTACTCTTATATAAATTCTTACAGTTATAGTTCGGAACTTTTCGTGAGTGGAGCGCAATGGTTTTTATCGCTACACTTTTTTTTCTCTTATTATGCAATATATTGTACTGTATTTTCTGGCATAGTTTTCTCCATATCTTACAGAAAATCGAAATTTTTCATTAAATCGATTTATTACTAATTTCTTGTGTGGTTTTTCATGTATGTTTCCATCACTGGAAAATACCTTTATCAATTTCATTTACTCAAATTTTAGACTAAAAGTTAAGAGATTATACTTGTTGAGACTACAATATTACAATTAAGTTGGTTTAAACGTTCAACCGAGAAAACGGATGAAACTTCCAAAAATACTGACAATTTTGAGTCTATAAAGTTTGGGGTAAAACAGTATCATAGGAAGGAATCGTCATTCAACCATGTAATCAACTTTCCCAAGACAGTTGGTATTAATGCTGTTTTGGAAAGTGACCATTCAAATAGAATTTGATGGTACAGATTCACAAGTGCAGTTTCAGAAATTCAGTCATGGTGAAATTATTCGTAGGTGGTTTACCAGATGGCGTTGACTCAATGCGACTTCGACAGCTTTTTTCGCAATTCGTTGTAGTTAACGAATGTGATGTGATCAAGGATTACGCTTTTGTTGTTCGTTATTTAGAAATTTTAATTGCAAAAGATGGCTTGATAGTTTGGTGCAAAAAATATGTGACCTTCCCTGCGTACGTGTAAGTACTTGGACATTGGAGTTGTAAGCCGCACATAAGGAGTATAAAATGTGTGCTTGATTTCAAAGGATTCCTATGCATTTATGCTTTTTTAGCACGTACCGGAGGAGTCCGATGCTCGAACAGCTATTGAGAAGTTGGATGGCTACATTCTAGAAGGAAAAGCAATTAATATACGAAGGTTATTTTACCGTGTTGTGTTTCCTAAATCTCTGGAGCTATTCATTCAATAAAGTGTTCCATTTTAGTAATGGAGTCATATAACAGATGCGATTTTCTATAGACTTCCTGGAGGAATTTTGTAATATAAAGTGTAAAACCGTTTCATTTGATTTAGTTAATTTCTATATTTTGTTAGTTTGGATTAGCTGGTCTTTGATTAACATATGCAAGAAGTGCGAGACAGAACGATATGGTTAGAATACAAATTCGTTGGAGTAACCTTTTATGTTCGACAATGAGGAAGAGAAAATAATTTGTTCATAAGGAGTTCTTATAGGTCGACGTCGAAGTTGCGAAAAGAACCGGGAATGGATAAACGTTGTTATCGATGTGGAGCAGTTGACCACAAAACTCCGCAGTGTCCAAGCGATCCTGCAAATGTTAATTTGAAACGGGCAGCTAATGCAGGCTGTTTGGGTGGCCCAGAACAGAAACGTTTCGTTGTGGATGGAGTGTATGTTTTCTTGATATCTTTAAGTTGCTCGGTATTTCCAAAGGGGTTTGTGATAGTTAACTACTTACAAATGCTTAAATTGCTTAAATTGGTTCTGAGTACTTAAATTACTTAAATTGGTTCTGAGCTCTATGCAAATTATCGCCCAAAACACTTCTAGCCAGAAGTGGTTAAAATTGAGGAAGATGAAAAACAAGTTAAAAATCATCTGTTTTGATATTGTTATCAACTATCCAGATGTTTGACATTTTTCGACTTTTTTGCAGCGTTGCCGGAGAATCTCCATCTTATTTACCAGGACATGATGCTAATGCACCCGGTGCATTTGCATATGCTGTAGGTTCGGGTGCTGCTGGAGCACGGATTGATCCAGACCCTGAATTACCGCGACCTTTAGACAGGTAAAGTTTCGTTATCTCGTTCTGAAAAAGATCTCTGAAACATTCTGCGGGCTGAGTTCAAAAACATTTTTTTTGAAAACTAGATCAGTTACTGATTTTTCTGACTAATTTCTAAGGATTTTGTTTATCCTCCCAATGTTCTGGATTTTGTGACATTGGCCTTAATCTTTCGAGTAGAATGATTATGTCGACATTCGATGCTGCAGTTGGTCTTTTTTGGGTTGTTTGCAATTACAACTTATCACCACTCGTTAGGTTTCCCATGTTTTCTACATTTTTGATTTTAAAATTGAAATTTTCGACTTTCTTAATTTTGTTTGTTCATTTAACGATTTTTCAGTGACTTATTTCCACTATATGAGCAGTATATCGAGTCACGAACGAAATATTTCTATTTTCGAGATCGACTGACGAAAGAAGTGAAAGCTCGAGCCCATGCATTACCGTCAATATCAGTTGCACCGCTCCAGGCTCCATATGCTAACAACAATATTTACAGTACTCCCCCGCCAACGGCTCTACAGTATACAGTGCAACAGTTCTGTCCAAATTTTTCACATTTTCCATAAAATTTCATAGTTACTTGGAAACAGGGAGTAGGAGTTAGGTTACGTTTCACCTTCGTTCAAGTACAATAATAACGTTTCGCAGACGCATAGCTAAATTCTAGATGAGTAGTACTCATTTATTTTTCAACTGAACCACAATGTAATGATATGATATAATACCGTTAGAATATATGCAGACGCCTGAGCCTAACTGATACTTATGCAAAAAATAGGGAAGGAACTTTGTAACAACTCCGACTGTTTGATAGGGTTCGATTATCGAAATGTGAGTGAATGGGCGTTGTTTTTACTGTGCCTGAGAAGTTAGACTTGGAAGGTTGCTGTACTCTAACGTGATTATTCCTTGTCATTTTGTGGTTAGCTGAATAATGGATAATAAAATGCAGATGAAATATTTAATGTGAGCTTAGAAATTTTCGAAGATTTCATATGCTTATCCATTAGTAAGTTGAACGTCAAGTTTTATTAACTTGCTGAGCACATCGAGAATTCAGCTTCCAACGTTTTTGCTAATTTCATGTTTATTTTCCGTCATATCAGGTGGTTTTCATTATCATCGCTTCGAAATCTCTTCAGTTGATTAACTAGGTTGTATGATATAGGTTTTTATGTTAGTCGCAGTAACTTCCTGTACTTGTTTCAAACAGTCAACAAAAACCATTCGAAGAAGTACGTCTTATGAGGGTGCTCATATTTTATAAAATTTTGGAGAAAATGGAATTTTGGGGAATAAATTCCAGCTTCTCTTCCATCAAATTACTAACTATTTGACTGAAAACGTTAGACTGTTTTTTGTTATAAGGAAGTGTAGTATTACGCGTAAAAACTAAGGATGCCCATGGCGAATTTTCCGATTACTATTGACTTACTTTATTTTACCGAAATTTCATAATTCAAATTAACAGGAGAACTTTGTCATAAGTTTAAAGTTATCTATATACCTTCGAATTCATACAAGTTGACGTTTTCGACATGGTCCCAGTGTATGACGCGGGCTTTCATCCCAAAAACATTATTTGGCGTTGCGCTTAAACGTTTGCAAACGATTTTTCGCAGTTGTATCGGCGCCATAAAAATTTCAAGCTAATTCATGGCAAGATTCATTTCTTTTTTAATATTTCAGGAATTCATCACTAGGATCGACTTCAGCGGCAACAGTGACTTATCCTTCAACAACGGGAGCATCACATTTTTATGCTAATGCGGTGAATACCAGTACTACAGGAACAGCTTACCCTATTGTACAGCTTCTTTCTCAGCCAACTCGTTTGTACTAACCAATATCAAATTGCAATGGTTAAACTGGTGTTGCAGATTATTTTTTTCTTTACTTTTTTACATTGCTAATTTTGGAAATTATTAAGTTTTATATAAATCTAAAAATTTTACCACTGATTGAGTCTAACAGATTAAGGTAGGCGACATCAGTATGTATTGCATTATCAAAGCGTTTTTTTTGTTGTAGATTATACAAATAGATTTCGTTCCGTTCATTTTTCTGTTCCACTTTATTATTTTATTGTTCAGCAAGTGCGTTTTAACAGTTGAAATGTTATTAGGATATATTATGGGCTTTACTGTGAATGAAAACTTTTGCAGATATCTTAATCACTGAATAAATCTATTATAATAATTCTTACTAGTAATTTACTGGTTTTTTTTTTTTTAAATAAAAAGTTCTTATTTAGCGAATAATTAAGTGACTGCATAAATTATTTTGTGAATCTCTATATTTTAAAATGTTTAGAAGTTACATTAACCTTAAATTATTTAAAGTGATAGTAATTTTGAATTTATATGAGCTTACGCTTATCATATAGCCTATTTTTCCTTCGAAATCTCAGAATTTTATTTAGCTGTCCATGTGATTATGTTTCAACTTTTGTATTTTGGTCATTGAGTGATATTTTGTTTTGATTTAGAATTGTTGGAAAGGATTTGAAATCCCGTCACGAAATTCGAAAATTTTTGAAATTAAGATTTTTGCTGTCGTCACCGTCATTCATGAACCTGTTATTATCATTTTTGTGGAAATCGAAAAAAAAATCAATTGGGAGGTGGGACAGTGCTGTTTGATTTTTCGAATTGTAATTTTGGAAGAAGTTTGAATATTGTTCCCAGACTTTATGCGCTTTTTACAGTTGTATTGCAGATTTCATTTCATCTTATGTTGATTTTTAATAATTCTCTATGCTGACCTACTACTCTCTTGTATTTTTACAATGTTGATGACAGTAAATTTTTTCAAAAAAATTTACCAGACTCACCAAACAGTTCGGAAACGATTTTCATATAGCAAGAGGAATACTATGAAGAACTTTAGAAATGCGAAATTAGGTTATAGAATCAGTTGGATGGATGGAGAATGGTAGTTTCAGGATAGATCTGGTCTTATTTTTGGGTCCTTGATTGGGTTTTATTAATAGGTGTCGATGAAGTGAGGAAAGGGATTTCCTAAATGCAATGGTAGGTCCTCTGAGAACATCTGAGTTGAGGGAATTCGATTATTGTTTCATTTTCTTTAACTGAGGATGCGATCGGCAAGCAAGAACAGAGATGGATTCGACTCTAATTTACTCTGCTTATTTATTGCATGGGTTACCAGGTTTATGTAATTTTCCCAAGTGTCTCTATCTGTGGTCAAAAGATGGAACTAAAAATTGTCCCTGACTGACTGTTTGTGTACAGAAATTCGAACATTTATTGAAATGACTTTAACATTCCTTTTGTTTAATTTAAATTTCTCATCAGATGAGGAGAAGTAACAGATGTCAGCGCCTATAGATCATAGATTAAACCATGATTTGTTGATCAGTTTGTAGACCATAAAAGTGGGAATTGGATTTGTGCTGATTATGCGAAATGAGAATCATAAATAGTGATTTGTGGGTTCTCCATATAAAGGGTTCCTGAGATGGGTGTTTGTGAATATACTGAAGCAATAAGAATTGAAATAAAGATCTTTCAGAAAAAGAGAGAGAGAGAGATAAAAGAGATAAAAGTAGTCTGGTGCTTGTAAAATGATTCTAAATGATGACGTGTCTCCTGTTGATATCTCTGGGTTAGGTTGTAATTTTATACGATCAGCAGGGCTGAAATTTAGCTACATGGCCACTAAAAATGTAGGCAGATGCGGAACAGCTTGGCTTGTATCATTAAAACCTATCCAAATGTGGATACTGTATGAGTGAGAACTGATATCTTCTAATAATCAGATAGACAAAGTCTGGATCAATTTGAAGTTACGAAGGAGAGAGATTATTTCATAAAACTAATGGGGAAACCAAAATAAAAATATTAGCAGAGGTTAAATTAGATAAGGTGAAAGAAAATAATTTAAAGCTTGGTTGCTAACCTATTACTACACCTTTCTCGCAATGTCATATCTATATTTCGACATGCTCCAGAATCCTGGAAGACTTTCACTTTTCCGATTC